AATTCGACGTAAAATAATGTTAACTTATGTAGACGATGTAATAATACCGGGAGAAAATGATGAAGATGCGTTTCGGAAGTTAGTTGAGGTTTTAAAAGTAGCAGCCAGAAATGGGCTAACGATTAACTGGGATAAATGTCAATTTTTGCAGTTGAGGATAGAATACTTAGGACACGAAGTCGAAAATGGAAACGTATATCCAAGCACGAATAAAATTCGGGCAGTCGAAAAATTTCCAAAACCAAAGAATAAAAAACATATGCAAAGTTTCTTAGAATTAACGGGATATTTTCGCAAATTCGTTAAAAATTAAATCGCAAAGCCACTGTCCAATTTAATTAAACAAGATGTACAATTTATATGGAGAAAAGAACAAGAGCAAGCATTTTTAGCGTTAAAATCTATATTAGCTACAAAGCCAATACTACGAATTTATGATCAAAACGCAGAAACAGAGGTCCATACTGACGCCAGCTAGGAAGGGTTCGGCGCAGTTTTACTACAGAAAATAACAAACGAAAACGCATTTCATCGTGTGTATTATTACAGCAAGAAAACTTCCGAAGCAGAACGAAAATGTCATTCTTATGAGTTAGAAGTGTTAGCGGCGATAAATGCAGTACGAAAATTTCGCGTATATCTCTTGGGCGTGCCGTTTAAATTAGTTACTGATTGCGAAGCATTTAAGAAAACGTTGTCAAAAAGAGATTTGTCACCTAAAATTGCGCGTTAGGCATTGATCCTTGAAGAATTTGAGTATAGAATAGAACATCGAAAAGGAACGCGACTTAAGCACGTAGATGCGTTGAGTAGATTTCCGGTGTCAGTGATAGAAAATAAATTGCTCACGATGATAAAAAAGAAGAAAGACTACAGATAATTAGACGTATTTTAGAAAGCGAAACGTGCGAAGATTATTTAGTAGAAAACGATATTTTGATGAGACGAAGGAACGGTAAAAATGTAATTGTGGTACCTTCTTGTTTACAAACAGAAATAATAAGAAAAACGCGACGGCGACAAGTAAAGCATATAGATACATTTTGGTAGTAATAGACGGTTTTTCCAAATTTACATGGTTATATCCTACGAAAACAGCAGCAAAGAAACAATTGGTAAGTCAGCAAAGAATTTTCGGCAATCCAGATCGCATCATATCAGACAAGGGAACTGCATTTATGTCACTAGAATTTCAGAAATATTGCGAAGAAGACGGTATAGAAAAAATAGAAATTACTACAGGAGTTCCTCACGGAAACGGAAAGGAAGACCGCACGCTTCGCACAATAATACCTGTATTAGCAAAATTGTCATTAAATAATCCGGACCAATGGTATAAATACATATGTAGGTTGAGTCCAAAAATGTATAAATAGTACATACCAGCGAACAATAGGCATGACACCGTTTGAAGTCATTTTTGGGAGAAAAATAAAAACCAGAGAAGATCACGAAATTATCACTGTTATTGAGCAGGAAGCGATACAAATGTTGGAAGAAAAAAAACGGTCGATTTATTTTTAACGCGGTACAACTTTCCTTGCTCCTCGAAAATTCTCGCGCTGCTCTACTAACTCTTATCCTTAGTCTTATTCTCAGTCTTATTCTCAGTCTTATTCTCCTGGTTTCCAGCGGCTCGTACTTTTATACTATTTCTCTCTCTCTCTCTCTCACTCTCTCTGACTCTCTCTCGCTCTCTCGCTTTCTCTCGCTCTCGCTCTCTTCTTCTCTCGCTCTCTCTCGCTCTCTCTCAGGTCCTCTCGCACTCTCTCATTCGTCATTCCATTCGCTCTCACTATTCGCGCGCACTTACAAAACCTATAACACAAATGTACAATGAAAGCCACGATGATTTAAGAGTTTTGGAGAAAGAAAATTTGTCAAAGGTACAGGAGGAAAATAGGCGACAATATAATAAAAACTGTAAGCCGGTGAAGCAGTACAAAGAAGGCGATTTAGTATTTATTAAAAGATTAAACAGAAATATTTATGACCATACTAAGTAACGAAAGTTAAGCGAAATGATCGATATGAGGTAGCGCGAACGAATGATGGTGAAGGACCTATGATGACTAGTACCGCCGTAGATTACATGAAACCGTTTGATTGTAATAGAAAAATTGACGACGTGCCTTCGGAGACCGAAGATAATGCAGGAAAGGCCGAGTGAGGGAATGTTACAAAGTAGGTGTGCGCGGGAGCGCGTATGCCGTGTGTGTGCGTAAAAAAGTATATTTTGAGTTCTTTTTCCGCCCAAAATATGTGGTTAGAGCAATTATACATTAATTCAATTGAATTACAAGTATAATAGCATTAATCTATAATTACCGGTTGTACTTTTTGAACCGTCCATTTAATGGAAAACTGATGCACGTTGCAAATCACTGGAGGATATAACGCATTAAAAAACATTCGATAAATCAATGATATTTTGAACATTACATGATACAAAGTATGGAAATGGTTAAATTAACTAAAAGATCGATTACTAAGAAAATGTTAAACCATTTTTCAAGCCGTCTCTATCTTATTTCATTACAATATGCTATTTTATTTAGACACATTATGAGTAATACTACAAAAATATAAACACGAAAAAAAATTTTCATTTTCTTTAAGATATTAATTCTTATACATTCGTGTGCGATATTAAATGGTTTGGAAAATCTTAATAAACATCAAATATATCAAAATCAGTAAACTATTCACATACAATTCGATAAAAAAAAATTACTAAATAATAAAGAAATCATGTATATGTTATCGAAAGATTACCTTATTATTTTTTCGATAAGTAATTTACGCAGGAAACCTGTCCCTCCCGTTACCAAAATGTTGGTGTTAGCAAAGAATTTGGCAATTTCACTTTGTTGTTTCTTTAAGTCTGATGATTCGGACATATCCAACATATCATATAAATACGCATCACTTCCTTTAGATGTCATCTCGATGATATACCTATTGTATACGTAATAAACGTATTACAGTATAATAATTACTTAATATAAATCTGATGGACACATAATCATTTAAACACGCGCTCTTCTTCACGCGCTTAGTGAAAAACATTCAATCAGAACATTTGTAAAAAATCTATCTTAAATCAATCAGAGCTAACGATTATAAAATTATGAATTTGTGAAACAAGGCTACTTTTTTTTAATACCATACAAAAAAGTTTGCGTAATAAAAACAAAATATATAAAGCATTTTTTCATTATTCTTTTAATAAACTATTGTAAGAGCCGACGATTTATACAGACATTGTGAATAGGGACCGTGTCTGTCGGCGATCATCGTAGAGCGCGGCTCTTCGAGTGTAAGATGATCGCCGCAGACCGCGGCTGATAAAAGCGAATGTTTCGAAAACATTGTAGGGTTCGGCGTCTTTTGAGACGCCGATGAGCGAACCCGCGAAAGCGAGCGTGCGTTGAATCAGGAGCAGTCGTATTGGAACTTCTGAACAGTGCAGAACCATAGTAAAACCACGCCTATTATTTGTCCTGACACTTCCGAGTCACTCAGTATCTTTATTTTCCGTTTTTCCTCTCCCGCTCTCCCCTATTACACTATTATACTAAGGAATATTATCGTTCATGAATTTTTTCAGAAACATAATCAGTTATTATTTTAACTGCATTCTGTTTATTATATCATAAATACTTGAATTTTTGTAAATACAATAAATATTTCCTACCGGTTCCGAACTAACAGCGACTGCGATGCTTCCGATGTGAATTCAACAACGGTTAAGTTTCAACTGCGAATTGTTCTAACCCCGTTTCAATACTTTTAAGACAATATTCATTGCGTCATACACATGTAGATGTTACCACATCCATATGAAAATTAGTGGATCATTTATTAGTGAACAGCAACCTGTTGGACTATGACAATGAGTAGAATAGCACAATGTATCTTGAATATTCAACTATTGAAAAACAGCATAAAAGGAAATAATAATATTTGAAATGATAAAAAGCACTCAAGATATTATTCAAATTATGAATGTGAAGGGATTAGGCGTGGTGGTATGATACAATCACAGCGTTCACTTTTTGAAGTTCGTTATTTCTGAACGTCGTTCTCGAGCAACGGTGCGAGAGAACTCTGGTCTTTCTTTCCATATATGTACTACAATTGAGGACGGCTTCTACACTTCTGTTGGACAGTTTCTTCTTCAGAAATGTCTGCAGAATCAGATCCTGTGTATAGATTTCGTATCAGGTAAAGAACTTTCCGTAAATATACAAAAGTGTTGTGTACAAAGTACGTACTTCGACACTTTTTCAAACTTTGGCGATCATTTACAACCGTTCAAAAGCACAAAATATTCTAACTATCGATGTTAGCATATTCAGGAATCTCTCCTCTATCTTTTAAGATTAAGTGGAACTGTCTGATGTTTTTAATTTTCGCGTAATACCTCGTTTTTACCCAAAATTGAACATTTTCACAAAAACTCGTGTTTTTCGAAAACTGAGGGTGATACAGCAATTCCATTTTCACATTCGTGTTTAGGAAACAGAGCTCTACAAGAATCACCTAGTGGGTACGGAAAAACAAAATTCGTGTTGAACAGTGTAATTATACGGGTCAATAATTATCTGAAATAATTACAAAATTAAACGTAAATATCACTGGTAAATATGGCTTCCCTTGTGTAAGAACGACAAATAACTTCCTTTTATTAAATAACAATATACTTTGGAAATTTTTGAATAATAAAAAAAGGATACATTGAACATTGTATATAGATATACCTTTGTTTCATAATTAATTTGCTCCCTCTATATTTTCTGGACTTCCTGATTTCGAATTATAATTAATGTTTAATGGCAAAGTTTAAATATTTTTTTAATTTACAATTTAGAAAATACGATGTAACAAAAACTATACGTAAAACAATTATTACATACATACATACATACATACATACCTACAATATATTCAAGTGACGAACGTACAGATTAGTGGCGACACTGTTAGCATTGTAGCAAACAGATTCACATAATCAACAGTACACAGATATTCCAAATAACATGTGTACGTATAATTAGAAAAATAAAATTAAGTTTAAATAATTTATCATTTAGAACACAAGATTAAAATGTTGTTTACACTAATCGTTAATATGCCACAGGACAAAACGACCAGGCAAAAGTTATGAAACGTACAGATGTCCATAGAAGTAATAGGGAGACCAACATTATTAATGAGTAATGTGCTATAAATAACCTAAAATACAAAAAAATTACTTTCTATAACACTGAATGTTATTAAGTTCATTATTAATATTATTTTAAAAAGAAACATACTTTATAGACTTCTTGATTGCTTCATCTACAGTTTCAAATGGATCATTTAGCATGTACAAACGAATACCTCTTACATGATAATAGAAATAGTCGTGCCAGGTGAAACATGCTACATTGAATTTGAAGATTTGTTGGTCAACAGAATTCATTTTTTCCCAAAGCTTCACAACATTTTCATTCCTAAAATGCCATTCACGTGTTGAAAAGTAATGTATCACGTTGCTAAATTTATGTATTTTTTTATATGTATCCGACAATCTAAAAAGTATATCACATAAGAGTATATTAATCATTATTATTAATTTGTATTATAATTGATACATTTCATTGATTGTAATTTGTTATATATGCATTATACTTCATATATAAAATACATACTGAGGTTTTCGACCCATGAGGTATGTCAACATATCAACAATAGTTGCTGGTACTATGTGTAAAAAAAAAATATACAGTTGATACACAATGAAATATCGTGTCATTATGAACATATAATACCAAACAATTTTTACACTAGGTACTTCAAAACCATACTTTTCATTCCATTTCATAAATTCTTTCCATGAAATTGGATTCTGACATGATGATACAGAATTATAAATAGGTATTCTTTCCTCATCAGACAAATTGGACTCATTTGATTTTATCGAAGATATTCTACAGAGTAAAAGAATTACCATTAGGATTATGCTTCAGATATATTTACTTTAACTTGAACCACTTTTTATTTGTCCTCATCTATAGTTTATATTCATAATAAAGAAGTGTCATCATCTTTTTATTCTTTTCTATTTACAGCAGAACAATATTAGTTCATGCTTCTATTATGTATAACCGAAAGTAATTAAACAAATTAGATTTTCAGTCCCAGTTTTAAAGTGATAATGCAATTAAAGATTTACCTATTGGCAATATCCCAAGCAGCACAGATGACATTAGAGACTACACAATCTGCTGGTATAATATCTGCTATATTTTCTGCTACACAATGTAGTGTATGCATCAAACCTACACTAGTTCCCATAACTACACCCGTTGCTCCATACAAATTATTTGTCCATCCTGAAAGTGGCTCTTCGCTTGTTGATATCATGATAGAAGGTCGAACAATACATACTGGGAGATTATTGCTGTACTTTAATACAATACTTTCTCCAAGTGCTTTAGAAAATACATATGTATTGGGCCATTTATCAAGTATACTACAATAATGGAAAATTTATAATTAATCATTGTTATCTCCACTGTGACTTTCATATTTGCAGAATTAATTTTTATACCATTTTGAATTAATACTTACACTGGAGTAATTTTCTCCAGTTTATCATCATCCAGAACATCCAACAATGTTAATATCTTATCACCATCAGTGGGAACTTTGTAATGTATTTCATCGATAGATTTAAGCATACAATGTGAATATGCCGTTGACACATGTACAAACGCCTGCACAATGATTTATAAATTCAGTTTATGTAATTCAAATTCTAAGTAATATTATTTCAACTGTTAATAGTTATTTATATTTTTTATTTAATATTTAAACGTGTGAAACGTACCTTTAAATTTGGCAATTCTTTTGCAGATAATAACATATATTTTGTACTTTTCACGTTGGTATTCATCGCTACACGAAATATTTCGTCAAATCGAACAGTTGCGGCAGCATGAAAAATAATATTTGTATTCATCAGAATCTTTTTACTTTCCGGTGATAAACCAAAATCTTGTTGTGCCGCATCACCTTCTAACATTATCACTTTATTGAGAAAGTTTGGCTGTTCACGTCTCAATCTACTGAATTCCTGATTACAATGACATATCAATTATTACTGTTCAACTATGTATATACATATATCATTACATCTGTATTACATACAATTCCATTAAAATTTTCTTTAAATCGTTCTTGTGAATTTTTCCCCTTTTTCGGCCTTACTATCATGTATATTGTCGCAACATCTGGACAGGATCTGTAAATATGCATAAAATGAAATAAAATGATAATGAAGAACGATGAAAATAAGAATGGAAAGTCTCAATGCTACGAATACTATAAAAATTTCATTAATTATGTATATGTTATTCTTGAAATTAATTGTTTTGGCATTTCTTAATTAATGGATCAATTTCATTTATGCTTGAACTATTCTTGAATTTACGATTTTTATATAGAACAAGAGATAAAAGTTTGCTCACATTAAAAGAAAGTATATCTTAAGTTCTTTTTCCCATGCAGAATATGTGGTTAGAGCAATTATACATTAATTCAATTGAATTGCAAGTATAATAGCATTAGTCTATAAATACCGGATGTACCTTTTGAACTGTTCATTGAACGGAAAATTGATGCACGTTGCAAATCATTGAAGGATATGACGCATTAAAATACATTCGATAAATTAATGATACAAAGTACGGAAATGGACAAATTAACTAAAAGTTTGATTACGAAGGGTATAGGCGAATAAGGGAATCAAATGTGCCCCCAACCGATTTGAACGAACGACATGTCATTCGATAGCTTATCCAACCAAAACCCTGTGTGCCAATTTTTAACTTGAAATCTTGACCGTGGGGGTAGTAATGGGGTGAAAACAAAAATCATGTTTTTGTACAATTTCTCTTGACCTATTGAGTAAAAAAATGTAAAAAAATTCGGAGACATTTCGGGTACTGGGACACATATTTTGGAAGATTTTCAAATTTTTTGATTGAAGAACCAGGTAGTAAAAAATAAGAAAAAAAATAAAAACCGATTTTTTCCTCATTTTCTGCATATTAGAGTAACTTACACGTTGAATTTTTATGCATTCTTCAATATATGAGTGTTTTGTAGACTGTTTAATGTTTCTACACTAAGCAGAATTACATAACAATTGAAATAAATAAAATAAATCCAACCATTGGACGCCTATATCCTAAAAAATCAACGATACTTTTATTAGCGTCGATGGCGCAGCGTTAGAGTGTCCGTCGAGTTCGTGTCTCTCTTCTGGACTGAGTATTTTTTTTTCAAATTCTAACTATATAACAATGCTTTATATTTATTTATAAATGTTCTAAAAGTATTTTACAAATATTTTAACCTGAAATATGTATAAATATAATTTTGGAGCGTTTTTTTCGTCTTCATTTTTTTTTGTCAACCACGAATATTGATTAACATCTCTTACATTGAAATTAACGTGAAATGTTAATTTTCAAATCTCTTACCTTTGACTATTGTGAATGAATCGGAGCTGAAGATTGTATATTGGCTTACTATTTCTTCATTCCCCCCCCCTTTGATCAAGCAGATCTTGTCTTCTTTTTCTCTTTCTTTAATAAATACGAATGTTTGCTACGGCTTCAGTATCTAACATAGACATGTAAGGGTCATTATCCTTTCATTCATGCTGGTTTTAAAAATAATTGAAACACTTGTAGGATCACCCTTTACGGACCATGTCAAGTAATTATGTATAATTTCCATCGCATACTGTAGCCTGAACTGAGTAATTAAAAAATACATTGTGGAACCAGAACGCGACAATCACCCACTGCGTTAGAGATTTGAAAACTAACATTTCACATTAATTTCAATGTAAGAGATGTTAAACAATATTCGTGGTTGACAAAAAAAAATAAAGACGAAAGAAACGCTCCAAAATTATATTTATACAATTTCAGGTTAAAATATTTGTAAAATACTTTTAGAACATTTATAAATAAATATAAAGCATTGTTATATAGTTAGAATTTGAAAAAAAAAATACTCATTGTCAGTCCAGAAGAGAGACACGAACTCGACGGACACTCTAACGCTGCGCCATCAACGCTGTTAAAAATATCGTTGATTTTTTAGGATATATGCGTCCAATGGTTAGCTTTATTTTATTTGTTTCAATTGTTATGTAATTCTGCTTAGTGTAGAAACATTAAACAGTCTGCAAAACACTCATATATTGTAGAATGTATAAAAATTCAACGTGTAAGTTACTCTAATATGCAGAAAATGAGGAAAAAATCGGTTTTTATTTTTTTTCACTGTGACGCGCCAAAATGAAAATCTGAAAAAAATTGAGAATAATAGTAATAGCAATACCTGTTTTCTGTAAAAGTATAAAAGAAATTCCGGACCTCCTTCAACATGTAATCGGCATTTTCTGCAGTTTCTTATTTTTTACTACCTGGTTCTTCAGTCAAAAAATCAGAAAATCTTCCAAAATATGAGCCCCAGTACCCGAAATGTTTCCGAATTTTTTTACATTTTTTTACTCAATAGGTCAAGAGAAATTGTACAAAAACATGATTTTTGTTTTCACCCCAATACTACCCCCCCGGTCGAGATTTCAAGTTAAAAATTGCCACAGAGGGTTTTTTTTTGGATAAGCTATCGAATGTCCCATCGCTCGTTCAATTCGGTTTGAGGGTACATTTGACTCCCTTATTTGGCTATATCCTTTTGAGAAAATGTTACGTTATTTTTAAAGTCGTCTCTATGTTATTTCATTACAATATGCTACTTTATTTAGACACGTTATGAGTAATTACTACAAAAATATAAACACGAACAAAAAATTTTCATTTTCATTAAGATATTAATTCTTATACATTCGTGTGCGATATTAAATGGTTTGGAAAATCTTAATAAACATCGAATATATCAATATCAGTAGAACTGTTTATATACAATTTGATAAAAAAAAATGACTAAATAATTAAGAAATCATGTATATGTTATCGGAAGATTACCTTAATATTTTTTCGATAAGTAATTTACCCAGGAAACCTGTCCCTCCTGTTACCAAAATGTTGGTGTAAGCAAAGAATTTGGCAATTTCACTTTGTTGTTTCTTTAAGTTGGATGATTCGGACACATCCAACATATCATATAAATACGCATCACTTCCTTTAGGTGTCATCTCGATGATATAACTGTTAAATACGTAATATACGTAGTACAATATAATAATTACTTAATATAAATCTGATAGACACAAATCATTTAAACACGCGCATCTTCTTCACGCACTTAGCGAAAATCATTCAATTAGAACATTTGCAAAAAATCTATCCTAAATCAATCAGAGCTAACGATTACAATATTATGAATTCGTGAAAGGAGGCTACTTTTTTTTTAATACCATATGAGAAAATTTGCGTTATTAATATACAGAATGTCCCAATAAAAACGAAATATATAAAGCATTTTTTCGTTATTCTTTTAATAAACTATTATACTAAGGAATATTATCGTTCACGAATTTTTTTAGAAACATAATCAGTTATTATTTTAACTGCATTCTGTTTATTATATTATAAATACTTCAATTTTTGTAAATACAATAAATATTTCCTACCGGTTCCGAACTAACAGCGTTTGAGATGCTTCCGATGTGAATTCAACAACGGTTAAGTTTCAACTGCGAACTGTTCTGACCCCGTTTCAATACCTTTAAAAGGATATTCATTTCCTCATACACATATAAATGTTACCACCTCCATATGAAAATTAGTGGATCATTTATTATTGAACAGCAACCTTTTGGACTATAATAATGAGTATAATAGTACAATGTAATATTTACATTGTAAATGTATCATATTAAATATAAATATGTAAAATGTAAATATTTATATTTAAAATGATAAAAAGCATTCAAGATATTATTGAAATTATGAATGCATATTTTTTCATCGGATAAATGCAACTTTCATTTATTAAATGAATTCTAATATTTTAAATATTTAAAAATAATATAAACCGAATTAAGTTAAACATATTTTTACGGTATTATTTTCTTGATTAAATTGATAACATATAAATTTGAAATTACCTAGATCTGTATCTAACATAAATAATAATGTAACTTCGGTGCCTTAATTTCTTTACAAGCATAAAAGGTAATTAAGTGAACAATAATTGTTCTTCTAAAAAATATGTTTCAAAGTCGTTGTAGTTCCTACCTATGCACAGCAACTGACAATAATTAAGTTGCATAATACATAATTATTATTATCAGAAATAAAACTTGATTAATAATTTATATGTATAATGAAATTCAAATTGCACAGTTAATATGGATAATATTTATTCTACCAATTTATTTGTACTAATACATGCTTCGTAAAGAGATACAATATATACAATACAGTACATCATGGAATGGCATATATTATGAACAAAACAAATATTTATAGAGAATGAACTACATATAAATACAGAAAATATATAACATCTACCATGCTTGTAAAGCACTGCCTGCATATTAATTACGTAAAATAGTTGGACCAAGTTGGGTGGCAATAAATCAAGCTGCATTTATTACTATCTTATCCGTGTAACATTCTATTGTTCGTTGTTGTCGATATTTAATAAAAACTTGTTTAATATGAGTTCATTCCTTAGCATATCTATTTGAGTGATTAAACGTGAAAAAATATTATAAAATATCTTTGTTCATATATTTTACAAATCATAATGTATTTTGCAATTTTCTTCATGTAAAAAATAAATAAAAACAAACATATTGTATATAATTAAATTCCCATCCATTATCTTTGCACAGTGCCCAAATTTGAAACGCACATCGTTTTTCTTTTATAATTTATACACAATATCTTATACCAGCCTTTCAATTGTTTTCTCCGATAAGTATATAATTTAAAGTTGTACATATTTAATATTAATACATTACCATGTAAAATCAATTTGAGACAAGTGAATATTAAAGGGCTAGTATAAATAAAATATACGATTTTTTTTAACACGCGTTAGAAAGTTATACACTTAATCATCTTGTAAAATACTTAAAGGATCTTCGCCAATCTTTTCAACCGTTTTCTTTAAATCCCTTGTGACCGACTTTTTTACGGTCGAGCGTGTTTCCATTGACCTCGCTCGTGGTTCACTCGCAGTAGATTTTTTTCCGAAAATATTACTATCGTCGTTGTCGTCGTCAGACAGAAATAAAGATTTCGACGTGACAGTTTTCCTCGGAATAGATTTCGTAGCAAAGATATCGTCTTCTCCGCTAGACTGGTCAGCAAAAATATCTGTAATATGCGAAGTCTTCACAGGTTCAGTAATACTAGAGAAAAAATCATTTCTGTTCGATTGCTCTTGAACACTTGCAGAATCTAATATTTGCGATTGCTGAAACTGTTCAGAAAACAAATTGATGTCATCACTGTCATCAAACAAACTTATTTTCTTCTTGGGCTGCTGTGCAGATTGTTTCTTTTCAGATTCAGTTTTCACCGACGATTTCTTTACGAGGCCGAATAAATTATCATCTTCATCGTCTTGACCATCGTCTTCGAAAAGGCTAATTTTCGTATCTTTCAAAGGTTTCTTTACAGGTTTCGACACAGATGCTGAAAACAAATCACCTTCTGTATCGTCAGCAAACAAATCCAACATTGGTTTCTTGACAATCTGTTCTTCGGGTGGTCTTTTTACGCTACTAGAGAAAAGGCTATCATCCTCTGAAAATAATAAATTTTTACCCTTTTCCGGTGATGGTGTTTTCGTGACGAAAGCAAAAAGCTGACTCGGATCTTTCAGTGGATCATGGTTACTATCTCGCAATGGATCTACCACTTCTTTCGATCCATCTTTATAGTCAACATTATCAAATTTAGAGTCTTTTTCACATGGATCCGTAGTATTAATATCAGAATATTTCTTAGATTCAGACAATGTGTTAAGCTGGCTAGTTTTATCCAACAGAATATCATCTTTTTCTGAAGCTGTATCTCTATTGTGTATTCTTTTAATATGTGTATCCTTTAATGGTTTAAAATTAGTGGGCGCCTTTTCGGAAAGAACTCTGTCCACTGGCGAAAGGATAGGAGCTCTACCAAACAAAGTGTCTTCTTTTTGCGGATCTTCGGGTAGATCAGGTGGCACATCGAACAAATCCTCTTCATCGGTCGATGGAGATAGCAAAGTGTTCTTGTTAGCACTCATCGAGCTTTCCTTACTTATGCTACCAAGATCAGATTTGTCGTCCGCGATTAAAGAAATATTAGGTTCGGCTAGTCGGTGAACATTATCATTAGCTGATGAGATTAGACGATCAGAGTTTGCAGCAACGTTATGCGAAGTATTAACGTATAAAGAACTGAATGACTCTTTATTAAGACTAGTCGATGATTGGTTACTATGACTTTCGTCTTGAGAATTGTTTCCCGAGGCGTCTACAGTATCAAAATCAATTCCACTTTGTCTGAGAGCAGATTTTCGTGCATGCCTACTCTGAGGTCGACGTTTTACTTGTATTCTAACTCGAGTCTGGAAAATAGCACATAAATTGCAAATAAAAGAACAATCTCTTTTCTACGTTTACTAATCTTAATAATTACTTTTGAAGCGGCAGTAGACAATGTTTCCACTTGAGCAGGCTCGTCGAAGCTAATGGCACTTTCTACGTTGCTTTCACCTGAAACTGTTGACTGCAAGGACTGCTTCTGAGTGGTACTGTCTTCTACGAAAAAGCATGTTTGTTTTAATCAAATGTAACATTATCGTCGTGACATTGTACAGGGTGTTTCTACACGAGTACCACATGTAGAAATTACTAATTAATAGAGCTGCGACTATTTAAATATTATTATTCGAATAAGAAAATATTCATATATTTACACTATTTGAACAATAATACGAATATAAATGATGTATTTATGTATCGTGTCATCAGCCGATTGTCAAATCATGTACACAGATGAAGCATTGCGATGAACGAGATCATTGATTTTTGTAAGATGATCAGATAACAGTATTTACAATTTCGTGCATGTAAATTATCAAGTACACCTCATTGTCATTATTATATATTGAATCACAAAATCGTGGATGATTTTTCGTCAGAAAAATAAAGCTTACTATTGGAATACTACGAATATCCACTTACTTGATCAGCGCACAAAATACGCGAACACTGAATTATTATATTAAGTAGTAAACTTAATAAGTAAAGTAGTTAAATCGAGTAACAAATATCAAGGAAACTTTACTTCGCCATTTTAGCTTATATAGTGGAAAAATATTTAATATTTCTATACTTTACTAACGTTACCATCAATTTCAATGGCCTTAAAGTAGAACTGAAAACTTGAAACTTAAAAGTAAGCAACAATTATTTTTTGTTCCAAAACATACTTCAAGGTAGTTGCGCCAGTAAAATACATATGTAATTAACAAATATTTTCACCAGTTTTTCGAAGATATTTTTAAGTCACTTTGTTTCTTTAAACAGTAGGCTACATTTTTGGTTTAGCATAATGAAGATGAAAGCAATACAAATTTTGAAACAAAACAAAAAATACAATTGTAATTACATATGTAAGTTTGATGTCCTTTTCATTTTATTATTTTGCAATAAATTGCAAACATTATTATTATTGTTTTTTGCACTATCTTGTTTAGTCTAAAAATTTTACCATCGCCTCTTTTACTTATCACAAAAGTAGTAGGAGATCATTTAATATTATTTATATACGCTATCGTTGCGTAAGTCAGTCAAACAATAAAAGGATTTTTCTGTACTCATTCGCGTATCTTGTATCAACGTACAAATTCTAGTACAAATAGTTTATCTTAAAATCAAAATAACTTTCATGAAAGTGAGAAATTTTAAAACTGAATGTTTCGTTGTATCTTCTGTACATTGTGAAGAAATAAAGAAATAAATTTGACGATCCGACAGTTTCTTTCACATTTCTTTTAAATTATGCAAAAAGATTTGTTCACATAATGGAATTTATTTTAAAAATTTTGTCTTGAAATTAGTAGTTAATTTTCATCTGAATGACCCCCTTCAGATGCTAAGCTGCAATGAAAGAAAACAAAGTGACTACCATATTTGTTTATAATACTCGACGCCATTATTGATACTAAAAGTAACGAGTTATACAGAATAGATCTGCCAGATTCTACATAAAAAATGACAAAGCAAAGACCCACGTTTTCTTGGTATCTTCAATTTTACGCGATGCTTGTGTGTAAGCACCCTGTACAAAAGGAAGTATAAATACTAAGCAACATTTAATGCAAATTGTATACACTACCAGATACGCTTGGAGGCGAACTATGACCTTGCGTGCTAATACATCCGCCATCGTCGCTATCTCTATCTGCCACGCTATCTTCTTCGTCTGTTTTTTCCTCGCTTCTTCTCCACAATGGTGGCGTATCCATGGGCGAGAGTATTTTCAAATCGCCCATTTTTCCCATCAAATTTTGTATTTTACCGGAAACCGTTCGTCGCGCTGCCAAACTGTTTTCCTCGGACGGCGGCGACGACGAAGTAGTTATCTGAATATTCAACGACTTCGGAGGGCTCTTCTTTGACTCAATATTCTCCGTAGCGCCAAGCTCGTCGGATGTTACTTGAAGCGTAACCTTCTCGCTACGTGGCTCCACGTTGCTCGAAACAACATCTGAAACCATACTCGGTTCTTGATTGTCCGCTAAAATTTTAGAATCGTTCAACGTCTCGGTATCCTCGACAGATATTTCTTCGACTATCGGATCTTTGATCTTCGACATCAACTCTTCACTCTTTTTCCTTTCGTCTGCGGTTACACTCTTACTGCTGAACAAATCATCGTAATCGTCATCTTCGAAAACCAATCCATGCGAACCAATAGTAGTGGAGAACAAACTATTACTCGATAAGTTATCGGTATCTTTTCTCTCCGTTTTTCGAGTGAACGTATCTTGTACGACCGTCTCTGTCCCCGTTGCAGTTATCCCTGTCGATTGTTCGATGTTTGTTTGCTTTGTATCGGCCATGTTCTTGACCGAGAATAAGTCTCTCTTATCGTCGTTGTTGAATACGCGAGATTGGGTGTTAACCTCGTGTTTAATTGGTTTCGCGGCGAATAAATCACCATCGTCGATATCCTCGCTGTCGTCAAACAAGCTGTTCTTTTTCGACGTAGCGCCTTGACGTTTTTCCACGTTATTATTATTAGGCGTCGTGTATCGACTATTGCCCGCGAAAAGACCTTCCTCCGAGTTGTCTGGAAATATCCGACCGGGGAAATCGGTTTCTTGCCTCGCCGGTTTCGACGCTATACCAAAGATATCGACGTCGGGCGAGTCTTTGCTGCCGAATATATCGATGTTCTCGTCAAAGAGGCCCCTTCGTTGCGCGAACTTGGATTTATCGGGATGTTGGGAGATGTTCGTCAAGAAATCGCTGCTCTTTTGAGACCTGGACCCGGAACTGGTTGTCGAGATATAGAATAGCTCGTCTCCGGAATCGGAATCATCGAACAGCGACTGCACCTTCGATTTCACTGCTTTCGAGTCGGCCTTGGGCAACGGCGGTGGACCAAACAGATCCTCGTTCTCGAACACATCGTCCTGTCGTATAGACGCGATGTCCTCGTTCTGTTCCTCCTGCAGTTGAGTGCTGAACGAATTAGTGTTCGTGGCGTTAACAGGATTACGAGTACGCGGCGTAAAAAGGCTGTCGCTGGTGATTCTTTCGCGGTAGATCTCCTCGGATTTTAAGCGAGTCGATGTCATCTGAGGCTGGAAATCATCACTGAAAACAACAGGAAAACACGAGATACTAGGGTGTCCTAGAAAATATTATGCATTTTATATAGGAGTGTAGGAATTAAATATTTATAGAATGCTTCAAGATTCTTAAATATACAGGGTGTTCGGCCACCCCTGGGAAAAATTTTAATGAAAGATTTTACAGGCCAAAATAAGACAAAAATTAAGAATACTAATTTGTTGATGGAGGTTTGGTTAAAGAGTTATTAACGTTTAAAGTTCCGCCCGTACTGAATTTTTTTCTTGAAAATGGGTAGGATTTCGGGGGTAGGTTTATTAACCAAAAATTATTGTAATTTACCCCTGCAACCCAAAATACTTTTTCCAGAACGATTTGAAATTTTTTAATTTTGTCGAAAAATTTCACACCTTCTCGAATTTTTTTCTCGAAAGTGGGTAGGATTTCGAGGGTATGTCTAATACCAAAACTGATTGTAATTGACCCCTGCAGCCAAAAATATTTTTTTCAAAATGATTTGAAATTTTTTAAATTAATTTTTTAAAAACTTTTTAACGAAGCCTCAGTCAAGAAATTGATATTCTTGATTTTCGTTTTATTTTGGCCTCTAGAATCTCCCGGTAAAATTGTTTCCAGGGGTGGCCGAACACCCTGTATGTAATTAAGAAATAAAGGTATATTATCATAATAATAAAATTAATGAAAATTTATTTTTAAAAATCAATTATTTAGTAGTATATTTCTTAAAGGAATTAAGCAAAATTGTATAGTAGACTTTTATCGAAAACGTGTATTTTTGTTTAGAATTCAAAGTCTGTTTCGCTCGATAAAATAAATTCCATTTGATCGGGTCAGATTGGGTCGAAATAAGAATATTGCGATTCACGAAATTTCAGGTATCCGAAATGTAGTCCGGAACACGGTTTTTTAATATGACCGAAACCTGGACGCCTATAAACACTAGGATGGTCCCCATTTTACAATCTCAAAATTTTGATTACTTACCCCCTCCCTAGAATGATTCAAATTCATAGAAGAGTAATTAATTCCTATAAAATTGAAACTCCTTTAAGTAAGGGGAAAAAATTTACCAAAAATTCTCCACCTATCTAGCGTTAATTTTCTTTTTTTTATCAACTCGGATAGAAACGATTTTTTAAAGACTTCACCGCACGTATTAAAGTGCTCAGAAAGTCATAAATTTCTGTAATATATCAGAAAAGAAAGAAACTTAACTTCATTAAACGCCCCATTAATTGTGTTATTAATTATGAAAATGGACCAAGTACAATATACCAATACGAAATTTAAGGAAACATTGAAAATGATTAACTTTCATAATCATCGAAATCAATTTTTATTTTTATTTTTAATTCTTTACCTTGTGGAATTTACGAGAAACGTGGAGCTGCTTTGAATTTTAAATTTACTTTGAAACTGAAACCATGCTCGAAGATTACGAGGAAATGCTTGTTTAAGGAAAGAATTAAAATAATCTGAGAATGTTTTGAATGTTTGGTTCGAGGAAACACTGTAAGGTCATGTAAATATATGCGTAATACTTCGAAAATATTAACTCTGATAATGAGCGATGTTAAGGATAGGTAGAGAGACACGCAATCGCACAAAAACTATTACAGAGAAGGAGAAACATATATATAAAATGTAAAATCGAAATCTAAATAGTAGTACATCAGTAGACTTCCGATCGTTAAAGAGCACGAACCGTACGAGCTAAACCATGAATATGAAGAGCATCGTCTTATTTCCGCTTTTTATAACAATGTATTTATTCTTGGGGGCACAAGGTAAGTTTTTTCCCGTTCGAGTGATTCATAACGTCAATAAGCAATTTAAAAATACAGGATATTATTTTTATAACTCGCTTTGCATGCGTGTAGTATTTATAATTTATCAGTTACTTGTCTGTCCATATTGTTGTTTACTCGACTTTGATAAATTACAAATACATTTCATTACTTTAATCCTGTTCGTTCTTTTATTTTTATCATCGCCTGTTCAAAACACTGCTTTATTAAATTTTGACAAGCTCCAATAAAGAGACCTGTGTTCCTTGACTTACAGTCAATGGCGTCAAATTATACACTTAGATGGACAGAAGATGTATTGAACACACTTTACGATGAGTTAAAAAATTTTTACTTTATAGCCCGGAAACGATTGATTTGTGGGGCCATTTTCATTATCACTAAACGCATCCAAACAATGTTTCATATAACGTTGGTAAACGAAATTTTATTTTTGGAAACTCGTAGCTAAAAAAATTGAACTATCACATACAAAGTGTTCGGCCATCCCTGGGAAAAATTTTAATGGGAGATTCTAGAGGCCAAAATAAAGCGAAAATCAAAAATATCAATTTCTTGACTGAGGCTTCATTAAAAAATTATTAAACATTTTCAAATTATTCTGAAAAAATTATTTTTGGTTGCGGGGCTCAATTACAATCATTTTTGGTCATTATACATATCCCTGAAATCCTACGCATTTTGGAGAAAAAAATTCCTTACCGAAAATCTAATTGGGTGCCTAAATTTTTAGACAAAAAAAAAATTTTGAAGTTGTTCTGGAAAAATTATTTTCGGTTGCGGAGTTCAATTACAATCATTTTTGGTGAATAGGCATACCTCCAAAATCTTGCGCATTTTCGAGCAAAAAATTCAGTACGGGCGGAACTTTAAATGTTAATCACTTTTTAACGAAGCCTCCATCAACAAATTGATATTCTTGATTTTCGTCTTATTTTGGCCTCTAGAATCTCCCATTAAAATTTTTCTTAGGGATGGCCGAACACCTTGTACATGAAAATTCAATTTTTTTATCTACAAGTTTCCAAAAATAAAATTTCGTTTACCAACGTTATATGAAACATTGTTTGGATGCGTTTAGTGTTAATGAAAATGTCCCCACAAATCAATCGTTTCCGGGCTATAAAATAAAAATTTTTTAACTCGTCTTAAAGTGTGTTCAATACATCTTCTGTCCATCTAAGTGTATAATTTGACGCCATTGACTGTAAGTCAAGGAACACAGGTCTCTTTATTGGAGCTTGTCAAAATTTAATAAAGCAGTGTTATGAGCAGGCGATGATAAAAATACCCCTGAAATCCTACCCACTTTTGAGAAAAAAATTCAAGTAGGTACTGAAATTTTTAGACGAAATTAAAAAATTTCAAATCACACTAAAAATATTATATTTAGTTACAGGGGTCAATTGCTATCATTTTTTATGAATACACATACCTCCGAAATCCTACCCACTTTCTAGAAAAAAATTCAGTACGGGCAGAACTTTAAACGTTAATAATTTTTTAACAAAGCCTCAATCAACAAATTAGTATTCTTGATTTTCGTCTTATTTTGGCCTCTAGAATCTCCCATTAAAATTTTTCCCAGTGGTGGCCGAACACCCTGTATATTTGTATGTAAAGAACGTTTCATAAAAACAGACATAACTTCAGAGATGAATTTAGAGCAGAAAAACATGACGAAGAAAGTTTATATGAAGTATTGTTCTGTTTATCTGACCCCGTTTCTGAATCACGGTCGTTTCTAGTGTTTTAATCATTCATGCGTCAAACTGAGTTAGTATAACTTATTATAGATATGTGCTATCACCTCGACTATTTGTAATAAATCCTTACTTCTATGCATTAAATAATAAAAATTGTTACATGAACTTCTTTATTATTTTCGTATACTGCGGGCATACCTCAAATTATGTCCATATTTTATGAAATACCCTGTAATGTAATTTGTATGCGTATAGGAACTTGCAACAATTTCCATGGTCAGAATCTTAGTGTGGGGACGCACTACATAAACTGCACTGAATATGAGTGTCACTCGGATGGATCTATGACCGGGCTTCCGTAAGTAATATGATTCAAGTATTTTAATGCAATATTTACTTGTTAAACATCGCGTGTACACTCTGCGTTACGTTTCATATATCATGTCTGATCTTCGAAGTAACCAAATATTTGAAGGTTTAATACCGATATGTATCGATCGAGTAATGTTAATAAATCATTAGTGATTATTAAACTAGCAACCATCAATTGGATACCACGTTGAATCATAATCAGAAAACACGATTAATCATTCTAGATGTGCAGACTACGCATGTGCTGAAGGAAAAGAAATTGGCTACCGCGAAACGGATTATAGCAAACCTTTTCCAGAATGTTGTGGGGGACCAATTTGTGCATAAAAAAAATATTTTAAATCGGGCAATGTAAAGTTAAATAAATATTGATTAGAAACTGAAACTGTGCCACGCTTACTTGGTATTGAATAATTAATGGAAACGTAATTAGAAAAAAACCGATGATAAAGTGTACGCGTGTTAGATACCGTCACGAGATGAGATACTCTTAAACTGAAGAAGCTCGCCTTGGAACTCGCGCATCTACTCCACACAATCACTACAACGCAATGGAGGATGACTAATGTTTGGATCATCAATTCAATGACTCTTTAAGTATTTGGCACGCGTACTCGATCTCGTATGCGGGTAAAATAAAGACGACGTTAATTTTCACCGTCGCTTCATAAATGTAAAACTAAATATTCAATTTAATTTCAACGTAAGTGATATTATTTGTACTATAACAAAAAAAAGGTCTCAGTTTTCTCAATAAAGAAATTGTGCGCAGTTTAATATTTAAAGATAATAACAACGTTAAAACTTACTCTAAGCTCGAACCTCCTGTGTTATTAATACCCGGTGGTTGGATCAATATTCCGCTGCTGGAACTACTTTCATTGTTAGCGGTTAAATTTTCCGTGTTATTCCTTGCAATCACGATAGAGTTTCGATCATTGATGTTATTATTATTCGAAATAGTATTTCGTAAAACATCGCGCGCAGGTTCCTGGCTGTTTTCGTAATTCCCTGGTATATCACTACCGGAAGATCCAGATGACTCGGCTCGTGATATTTTATTTGATAATTTATTCTCAACATTTGATGTTAAAATGTCTCCAAGTATCGATACTCCGCTAGGTTTCTAAAATAATTAATGACCATCAATTTCGTAGAAACATTTAAACATTTGACAAACTTGTAAATTAAGCTGATATCTTACTGTCTTATTTGGCGGTAAATTTTTGGACAAACCGAAAAGATCACCGTCATCTTCGTCGTCACTGAACAAATTATTATTATTTATATTAGTTTCTGGTGTACTTGTAGCCACTGATGCTATTGTTTCTAAATATTTTTTCTGCACACTTCCTGTATTCGTTGGGCGATTATTGCTATTCGTATGTTTATTTTTCACAATTGTTTTCACTGTATTTTTTGATGAGAAAATATTATCAGAATCTTCGGAATCAGCATCGGCAAAGAGATCGTCGATCTCAGATTTTGGTTTTGTAGCTGGAAATACAGTATAATTACAGCCTAATGAAACATATTATAAAGGATTTAAGATAAAAATAGAGCTTACAATTTGCACTGATCGGAGGTGGTACGTCCATACTAGCAGGTATGATATTATTTTTATAAGGTGCAACAGGTTTGTCTTTCCATAAACTTTCTGAAGATTGGTCATTCAAAAAGGTATTTCCACCGTATATACCTCTCGATTTATCATTTAAAATATTCTCATTTGTTTCTGGTATTAATAAATCATCTAAAATATACAACAGTAGTTAAGTTCAAATGAACAAAATTATTGACTCCATTCACATACCTTTAAATCGATTTATCGATGCTTCGCTTTTGTCATCTACTACGACTGGCTTTTGAGCTTGACGAACTGTACCTAATCGCTTGGCTAATTCTTCAGCAAACTTCGGTGCCGAATTGTTTGCTAATTGTACCTAAAAAATGAATGTAGAATTGAAATACAAATTTGATAAAATTGAAATACAAAATATGAAGGAAAAGAAAAAATATAAACAAATATACAAACCTTTGATGCATTATCATTAGGAGTAATTGATTCGGAAGCAGAATGTACATTATTTTGACTAATTACATCTAGTTTTTCATTGTCCATATATGATAAGTCACTTATTTTACTGTAATCTGATCCAACCAAAGAAGGTGACAATCCAACTGTATTTGTTTTTGGAGCAGTGACGATATTATACTCTTGAAGTACTGCCCTATCATCGTCGCTTTCTGAGTCTTCTTCTTCTTCGTCCACTTGTTCCGATTCGCTGCTGCTACTACTTTCCAACCCAATTTTACGTGAATTTTTCCACTTTTCCGAGCCAATAACATATGGTAAAGGTCGATCTTGGTATGGATCATTTGACCCCAGTACAACACTAAAATTTAATTACAAAAGAATGTACAAAATTACTTTTATGTCAAAACTGATTTAGCAAATTTATTTACCTTAATTCTATTTTGTCGTCATCCTCTTCTTCGCTATCGCTATCAACAAATTCCATTTTTTTATACTTTTCATCCATTATACTTAAGCCTTGTTTTATACTTTCACTCACACTGGCTATTAAATCTGCAGTTGCAAAATCTTTGTTCTTAGACTCCTATATACAAATCAGCATTTTAATAGAATATTAATCTAGAAGTTTAAAATACTATATATTTTATAACCTCTAATTACCTGCACTGAAGTATCCACCTTCTTTTCAATCTCTATATCATCTTCTTGTACACGGCTCTCGATAAATTGGGTATTAGCCAAAGCTAAGGAGGTATTAGTAACATTATCTATAAGTATTGCTGCTTCGTTCAGTTGACTCGTGAATGCATCTAATGCTTCCTCAGTTTTGTTTGCCCTCAATACTACATTCTATCAAAATAAATATAAACAAAAAGGGATTAATCTTGTATTTGTATCTTTGATAAGTTATTTAAAAAATGTGTCTAACAAATATGAACTATACCTCAGAAAATTGTTGAAGCTGCTTGAGAAGTCCTGCATCAGCTGCCAAACTCCATTCTCTTCTTTTCTTTCTCATTTCTTCTGTAGTCCACGGATGATCCCATGATTTATCCATTCCATCTGATGTGTCCTAAGATATAAAATTGTACGTAGCTATATTCAAAAGCCATTCAATGTACTTTATTATACATCTAATGAATTTTGATCAAAAGAAACAATTATGGTGTAACAATATGTTTCCACGTAGAGAAAGTGACAATAACTTGGATAATTGTTTATATTCGTTAACCTTAAAATTAGTTTCAGAGATGTCAATTTTTGTAAATAGTTACGATACATACCATATCACTTAGTTTGATTTGAAATAACAAACTATTATTTTCCTACGTAATTACATTTACATATGTGTAGTACTTTTTATCGAACTTAATAAAAGAAAAAAACACCCACTTAGCAATTGAGATTATCAGCCACAGTGTTCGGTACTGTCACATCTACCGTATGATTTAATTCAAACCTTCCATCAAAAGAAAGTTTCAGGAATGTGCAAAAGTTAAACAGAGGCATCTATTTTGCGAACTATTTTATATCGGTACATTAATATTTGAAAAATATGTAAAACTCTACGTACAATTCTAGTAAAAATAATTTAAAACAAGTAAATATTTTTCATGCGATCATTTTTTTCGATATAAACAGTTTATTTGAAATTTCTAATAAAACATAACTTTGTAATTATTTTCCGCCAATAATTGCAATGATTTGTAGCTCCTTTTCTTGCTGTTTCATTCAAGCACTTTGTTACATCAATTATAACATGTTAATATGTTTTAATTATTATTAAACATATATTCGTTTAACAAGCAAAGAAGGGTCTGTCTATTAAAGGATACAGTACTGTTAAATGCAATGTTGCCAAACCGATCAGTATTTTGGTCCGCATTCAACATTCCGCTGTTCGACCGATAGAGGAACAGCGCTGTGGATTGTTTGTCAATATCTTCGAGTTAGTTGATTTTTACTGGCTTTTATATGTAAAGCAATCATTTTACGATGACACGAAAGGCCAAAAAAATATCCTGACTACAAATGTGTCAGAGTGTTTAGTGCATGTGTATAGAATACACAGATAATACTGTCAAGGAGAACGTCGTATATGTGCAATAATGCTACTTTTATATGCAAGTCAGGAATTCCATCTGTTTCATTAAGGAAAAGAATGTTTGGAACCCTTGCATTACAAAGAGTATCTATTTAATCTTTCCTAATATAATTTTTTCAAGTTATACGTTATCATGGATATTTAATAAAAATACTAGCTTTTCAAGTGAAAATATAAAAATTTATAATACAAAAAAAACAGATAACCCTTGGTAGAAGAAAAGTTCCATACATTGGTACTTTTAGTCGGTATGTTCATAAAATGAACAATTTTTTACGTCATTTTAAATAAAAACCAATGTAGTTAAGAATATTTGTGATGGATTGATATATTTTTTAAATAATACAATATACGCGATATGTGCACGCACGCGCACCTCTGTTACGTATGTACGTTAACAAATAATAATATACAATTGTTTATTATTTGCAATTAATTTATTACTTGAGTATTCCTGTAAACGTATTATAAAACATTTCTTGTTAACGTATTACAAAGCATTTCTTGATAAGAAGTTTCTTATTTAATAATCACTACAGAAGTATTAATTATTTTTACTGTTTATTTGTTTTAGATACAATTTAAAAAATGTACATCAGAATGATACAACAAAAAAATATAGGTGGTTTATATAGCAAAGATGAATATGTCAGACAATTGTGTATCTTGTTTAGTTGATGCACAGAATATTGTCTTAGACAATTGTCGATTACCTTTATTGCATATCTTTATTCTTGCTCTTTTGGAGCAATCTGATTGTCATAAAGTAACCAGTGTTCATAAAATCATTTTTAATGAGGCTGAAAGCACGTATAGGAAGGCTAACTCTCTTTTGAGAAAGTACAGTGCTCTACAACTGACTTTCATGAACAATGAACCATTCGGGAAGTGGAAAACGTCAGGCGAAGGTTTTGGAAGAAAATTATTGGGATTGCAGTGTCTGCACATATAGGAATACCGCAGAAGCATTTAAGTGCCACATGTGTGACGTCCGTAAAGGAACTTCCACGCGGAAACCCCGCATTAATCCCCAACTTGTGGCACAACAGGTTACAATTTTCTAGTAATTCATTGTAATCCCTAACCAATTTTTCATACCTGCATTACTCGACATCGATTGTCAAGTAAAAGTTAATAAATATAATTATATTGCTAATAAAGTTACATTATTTGTAGGTTGCTCAGCAACAGTATGCACCACTATTAAAGCCAGGGAAAAAAGAAGGCGGAAGCGGAGGTAGTACAGCTAGTAGTGGTAAAGAGAAAGACCATAAATTGGACAAACCAAGGCGTAAAAATAGGCATCCACCCCGTCTCAAAAATATAGATCGCAGTACAGCTCAAACCAATGAAGTGACAGTAAATAATGTTACTGTCGTTATTACGGAATATAAACCCAAAGTGAAAAAAAGTTCAGATCAGTCTGGTTTATCTAGCAGTGCTTCTTCTGAAAATGGAAGTCAACATGATTCTAATCAAGACTCTAGAAGTTTGGATATAGGAACTGATGCTTAGCTCAATACGCTATATCACATATGTGTATGAATTAATCTAATTAATATATTATATAATGTATGTCAATCTCTATGGACTATGGTACATTCTGTGGACAAAAACAATTATTTTGTCTATATGTTGCAGGTTATATAACATTCAATGAGGTCAGACGTTTTATGCTATCAGTGGAAACATTGAACTTTTATGACTTCAATATGAAATAAGAAATATGACATACTATTGTTTCATACTAACATCAAAATTATCTGTTTCATAACAATGGTCTACTTCATACCCAGAAGCATGAACTGAAGTTGTACTTACTGTTATTTATTCTATAGTTTCACAGTATTCTAAATTACAAGTTTAAGATTTAATTGAATATTTTAGATAATTTTATTTGTGCAACTTCGGATATTACTTATTTTACTTATATAATATTGACTGTGACAAATGCATTATATGCACCAACATTGAAAAATGAATTTGATATATCCATTGTTGACATAACAATGTCCATATGACTTTCATTGAATCTATTAACACCACTGCCAGAAAGCATCTTGTAATATTATTGTTAATTAAAATGTTTTAGTGAACTCATTTATGTATGAGTTATTTAACTATTTCATTTAATAATTACTGTGACAGCGAATTAAGAAACTGGCATTGGTACGTATATACCTTTATCCCATTCCAAATCTATAAATTTGATTTGCTACAAACTTTATTCTTTCATGGTAATTCATTTCACTGATGCAAGAATTTCTAGTTTATACATACAATAGATTACGCAATTAAAGTGAGCAACATAAAATGAAATGAAATAAGTGATAGACAGTTTTATAAGGTTTAGAAAATATTTAATTTTGGGACAAAAAATTCGTTAATTTTAATAGCTTATTATAATTTTTATTATGCTAAAATATATTATAAGGGATTTTTCATACTTCTTTATTTTGAATACTTTAACGACACTAGAGTATCAAAATTTGCTACATCAATTGTAATTAATATTCCGCTAATTTACTAAATATTACTTTGCAAACTCGTAAAATCAAGAAATTTTAATCGTTACAGCTGGACTTCTTTCTATTACTGGTATTATAATAGAATGTATAATCTACTAAGCTGACACATGTTAGTAACTGCCCAATCACTTGTAACTGTGATTTATAATTCTTATATTTATTTTTACATATTTTACGTTATCAGGCAATAAATAGAATTGCTAAATTATATCGCAGGAAATTTTATTATACTGAAAAAGTATAACTACAAGGACCACAAGTAACAGGATTATTTCATAAGTGTTTAAAATTACAAAATGCCATACAACCAATTCTTTTAAAATTTGTGTAAAATATTTGTATGTCAGTTAGATTGAAATATAAATCGTAATTTGACACTGAAATTAATAGTCTATGTCATAAACATGAAAGTAAATAATACTTTTATAACCATTTATATATATATCTACTACATTATTCAGGTAATGAAAGCATCAATGAATTACATAATCATGCAATGTTAAAAAAATTTATAATTCAAGTAAAATTCTTGTAATTGTTATTCCATGAATAGTTTTTCATGAATGTCATCAAAATTATATGATTTATAAAACAAATGTCAAACTTCTACCGGAAAGAAACCAATTTCAACGTTTTATGTCTTTTAAACTTATGTTTTATATATTTTTACTCTTGTAAAAAATAAAAAAGAGTTAGGTCAAAAATATATTTTTGAATTGTAACATAATATTGTTTCAAGACAATTTATTCTAAAAATCATTCTTTATCAATATACGATCTTAGAAACCTGTATCTTTTACCATAATAGATATTTAATGATGAATCGTTTAAAACATTTTAAATAATTTTTAATGAATTTTTAAATAATTTAATTATTTCGCATATTTTTATGATATTATATTAATACAAATCAAAAATCTGTACAGATTGCCTTCACAGCATAAAAATGTGTTAAACGAAATTGAATTGGATTTGTGTGTGTGTGTGTGTTGTAAATGATTAGAAAAGAATTAATATGTTGTACAGATTGTAAAACTTTCGAGAAATACTGTTGGGATTAACATTATATTATTACAAGGATAAAGAATAAATTAAATGTTTTAAGAACTACAAATTTTAGTCTGACCTTCCAAGTATATTCATTTCTGTTATTTTATTTATATCAATTAATATACATGTAAAAAATAAAACAGGAATAACTTCAATTTGCAGTCTTTATAGAATTCATCATTTTGATCCTATCAGTTTACTTATTTCTTTTTTTTGTGTTAAGTGCTGCACTATGTCTCTCTACATTATTCCACATTTTCAGTTACATCCATCATTTCTTCAGGATTGTTTCTTTTTAATATTTTTCTGCTTTGAAATCTCTCGCGTACTATTTAAAGAAACATCAAGTTGAATAAGTACGCAGTCAGTTATGTAGATATATCAAAACTTACCTTCTGTTATTTTCAGAAAATTGAAAACTTTAAGGTTATGTGATTTGTTATCACCACCAACAGTGAACACAAATGGATCGTCTGGATTTGATGCGAGACATTGTATAGCACCAAGATTAGTTTTCTTTTCCCATACAAGACATGGGTCTGTATGATTAATAGTATCCCACACCTTTATGACACCATCATTTGCTGAGGTAACAAGAAGACCAGAACAAAATGAACTAAAAGACAAACCTAAAATTATAATGTAATAAATTTGTTTGCAATTTGTATGCATATAACGTTAATAATATTTAGATATTACACGTATTTACCTGTAACTTCGTTCGTGTGGCCTTGTACACTCCAAATTGGCTCATCTTGTCTAATATCAAAATATTGTATATAACCATTATCTGTACTCACCTGTAACATATATAACAGTTTTTGCATTTTTTTTATGCTATGAACTTTACAATTACAAACTTAAATATAATTAATAGACTTACTATACAATAATTTGTATCAAAATAATTCCACACAACTCTCTCTACTTCTCCTAATGCTTCCCAAGAATTTGTAATTGTTTCATCTCTGCAGTCAAACAGTCTTACTATTCTAGAAGAACAATTAAATACATGAATATTTAAAATACAATTGAAGCACATTATTTATTAATTAAAAATTAATGGGCGTACTTATCCGCGCATCCGGTTAATAATTGATGAGTTTCCGTTGGATGCCATTTTATTGACTGAACTTTCTCGCCAAAAGAAGACAATTTGTTGACAGGTGTACCATTTTCTAAATCCCATAATAAAACTGTTTGGTCAACTGATCCACTAGCAAGTACATGGCTAAAAATAATACTTATATTATCATGTTTTATAATTAAATATACAAAGTTTTAATTATAAAATATACTAACGTGTAATTTTCATTCCATGCCAAATCCAACACAGCATCTTTATGCCCAATACGTTTTTGATTCTTCTTTTTACTTGGTTTGCGACCAAGTTTATAAGCTGGTTCTAAACAATCTATTAAATCTAAATCCCATACTTCTATTATGGGAGTCATATTACCAATTGCGCATAAATTACCTATAAGACAATAAGTTTGTATTTCTGAATTCTATTACTATATAATGAATACATTATACTATAATTACTTGGTTTTGAATCTGCAGGATCAAAGTTCAGCCACTCTATACATAATGGAAACGATGGTAGTAATATATCATGATGGCAATAAAATGAATCTTCTGCTTCATTGTAAACTAAAAATAATTGAAAATTCAATTTTACAGATATTAAAATCAAAATTCGGGTAATAATTAAATTACTTCTATAAAAAAATTGTACTTTAAACACAAACCAAATATTTCCAATGTACTGGCATCTTCTTCAACATGTCCTATCAATACCAAATTATCGTCACTTTTGATACCATCATCTTCCTTCTCTGAATCATCATCTTCTCCTGTCACTAATGGATCTTTTCCATCTTTCCCAAAAGTTGCAATATTACTAATATTGCAATGTATATCACCCGCTATATACCAAAATATATGTAAATAAAAATATTATATGAAAAATTTACAGCATTATTATTAAGACACATAATATTATGTACCCTACATTCATCATCATATTTATCAAAGTTATATTCGTCATTTTGAGATGCATCAAACTTAAATTTTGATTTGTTTTTGTATTTTGAAGATTTATCATCCTGTTCTTCATCCAACTCACTTTCAGAATCTCTATAATAATAAAATTAGTTTTATAATTATTAAATTACCTTTTACTAAATAATAACAAATTATTGTACACTTACTGTAATTCTGATTGTGTTTGTTTTATAATCTGTACTAGTTCCTGTGGTGTTAATTCAATCTAAAATATTCAAAATAAAACAAGAAAAATTTAGAACCAATACATTTAAGTAAATTACTTTAAAAATATTTTAAAGTAGGAAAATTCACTGTATTTAGATTAATTAACACAGAAAATGTAAATCAAATATTGAAGAATAATTTTCAATTATTAACCTTTTCAGGAGTCTTAGACGCGACACCTTTCTTCACCCAAGTTATACATGGTATAATATTCATTTCTACTGTATATATTTACATCTATGTTTATTACAAGAATATTCACAGTTCTTGTGGTGAAGCTAAAATACTACAAAACGTTATGGATAGATAAAAGCACGTGGTATTGCATGACAACTTATATCGTATCAATGGAGTGGGAATTGTGGGAAATAATTTCGATTCGATAAATCGATTCAATATAATGTAAATCATAAAGCCGTGCATCTACATATTATCGTATTAGTTGAATTGAAAACATAATAAAATATGTTTTTTTTTAATTATATAAGCATCATAGAAAATAATGGTAATCGTAATACCACAGACGAGATATATCGAATCTGACTGCCATACCGACCTGAAAATTCGGAGCTGATTTTAGCGGCCTCTTCTCATGGATAGCGGTCAATTGAGAAACTATTCATCGAATTAGCTTGAGGCTTGAGGGGTGTTGCGGTCGCCGCCTGGCGCCGTGTAGCAGAAGCTTTGGGGGGCGCGAGGTTTAAATCAGATTACACGAATGTAATAGGAAAGGGAGACAAAGTGGAGTCCGCGCAAATTCTAAGGTTTAAAAGTGGTTAGAGATTCTTTTAATGACTTCACTTCGGGTCATAGATTAGCCAATAATTTATTGGAGACGGATGTTTGGATAGTCGTGAGCTCCCCTTTGATCCCTTCTCCTAAGTGTGTAATTCCAGGAACTTGGGCCGTGCGCTATCGATAGCCGGAAACGGGCTGCGTGGGAAAGCCGATAACGGTCACGTGCTGCAGAGGACCGTTCTCGAGGGATCGGGGGGTGTGCCGAGGAACGCGCGTGCGAGAGTTTTGCGCCCGGCCCGAACAAAGGAAGGGACGATCTGGAGGGTCCTACGTGTGGGCTGGGCCTCGACCGGCCGGCAGAGCGACACTTGAACCCGGAGATCGAAAGTGAACGGACGTAGCATTGTAACATAAGCGAGATCATACTTGTATTATTTGAGTTAGTTAATAGAGTTGAATCGGCAAAGAGAGAAGCATCTTGAATTAAGAGAGCGGAAGTGTACGAACGGGTTACAAGATTCCTGCGAAATCTTGGTTGTTTTGTTTTATATTCCTTTATTGAATAATTAAAGTTCTATTTACGTGTGTTCAAATCGTTGTATCCATTTATTATTTTCCTTATCTAGCGATCTCCGTTTGAAACTCCCGCGTCCAAGGAGCAGAGTGCCTTAGCACTCCACGGGCAGCGTTCCCCGCCGAATTCCCTACGAAGTTTCGGAAATACGCCGCCGGACGCGCAACAGGGGCAGCCAGCTGTAGTGTCGCGTAAGTACATGTGAGTTGACTATGGAAGGGATTAAAATTCATTTTTTAATCTATTGGTAACGTTGCGAATGACACGAAAATGGTAATGGGGTTTCGAGACCCCATAAAAATGGGCCAAAAAAATCCATTGGGTGAAAGATCTACCTGTATACCTCGTCTGTGACAATACTCTTGAATCTTTGATGAATCAATGAGAATCAAAACTAACCTAATGAAGAAGTTCTATATTTATGATGATCTATGCAAAGTAGTATTATCCAGGTCTCACCACGTGGAGGTTGTTGCGAATGTAGACCCGCCCTAACCGATTCCCAACCACCCTCCATTAATAAAGATCTGTGACCAACAATCGTTGGTCGAAGAAGAAACAAACGAAAGTGCAACCAACGAAGGAAACAACCAACGAAAGAGTTTTTTGAGAAAGAATTTGCCTCTAAATTCTCATCAACAAAACAGAGAAATGGACCAAAATATTGCCTGCCTGATATAATGATTAATATAGAGAACCAAATTCCTGCCTAACTATAAATCTAAATTCGTTTACATCCTACCTATCTAATCATCTAACAAAATATACATATAGAAAATGTATTCTTCCTTGTTGATCCTTCGACGAAGATTTCCTGAAACATACTGTTACATTCTACCTAACTATAAATCTAAATTATTAAAACATAAACTAAGCAATCTGAAACTAAATACATGAAATACATTATTTTTTCTTCTATCTTCTATTTATCCCACGATGATTTCCTGAAACACAAACAAAGCAACATCAAACAAAATTGTAACAATTCTTAATTGTTACTTCTATAAATTTAAAACTTCCATAGGAATATGCTCTGTAACAGGAACTTGTTTAATAGATTAGTAAGAGAACAAACAAAAATTTGACACCTGCAAGAAGCATATGCCCAACACTGAATCTGTAAAACTACAAATACTACAACTACAGGCAAGTGCAATGACAAAGTAAAAATAGTACATAATATACGAGGTTACTTTGACTCTAAAATGTATTCGTCGCAAAATATCTTCTTGCACGTCAATCTAATGATATATTTTAATAAGTAAAGAAAGACTTTTTGTCATCAAAGTCCTTGTTACAAAGACTTTGTGTTCAAAGTCGTCAACTCAATTATGAAAGTGAATTTAATTATTGAAGAATGTAAAGAACAATCGGAAGCTACTAATTTAACACACATTCTAAAATGAATATAATTATAAGTATTATAAAAGATATTAAAATCATGACTCTACTTTCGATTGATATTACGATATTTGTCATATTAAAAATCGCGGCGTGCAAAAACATCGCACGCTGAAAATAAAACGCGACGCGACGCGTGCTCATAGCGTGCAGTGAGTGTGGGTATCAAATTGATCACCCCCGGCCTTGATTATTTATCAGAAAAGCAAATCACTCCCCTGAAGCTGGTCACTTTGCTTCTCTACGTACACCGCCGGGTCCTAGAGGACACACGATCACAACAGGACCCGACTTAGTACTCAAGAAAGAACCTGAATCAAGAACTCTCGCCGGAGGTTATGCTCTTTTCCGTATAAAGAGGAGAATATATGCCCGGCGAGTCCCCACTTAAGCTGAACCAAGCTGCACCAGGGTTGAAGCGGTTAGAGTTATCAGACCTACTACACAGGTGATCACATGTTTCATTCTATCAAACAGAGGTGATCAAGCAAAACTCTCTGGTCCTTTCAGAAGAGACAGAATCTCGGAAAGCGAGAACCAGAGAACAAGCGAATGAGTTATATGTGTCGGAATCCATTAAACAGTTGTTGTTCTAATTGAATGATACTTCAGTTTGTGATAATAAAGTTATATTGCCCCTTATCGATTCTTAAATTTAATCGATGTAAAGAATGTCATCGGAAACGCAAACGTACGTCTGGTTGGCGTTGACGTTTGAATGTGGCCTTTGAAGGTAGCCGAGTTGGTTGTCTGGTTACCGAAACTTTTGAAAGAGAAAAGAATTGAAAAAGGGTGATCAGACGGAAAGGTTGTGCTAGAAAATCAAAAATAGAAATCCTTGCAAAGGACTCATTAGTTGACGTTGAGCATTCTTTCGTTCCGTTTAAGTGTTTGAGTTTATTATTTGTGAAAGTTTATTTAGTTCGAAGTTTAGAAAAAAATGCATATGATAACAAGACAAAGGCTTGGTCGCCCGAGAGGACCAAATGTTAACCGCCCTAGAGAAGTGGTTCAAGATTCTGTTTCTCCGACATATGTATATGTACTCATTATACAGGGTGGGGCAATAACTATTAGCACTTCAGATATCTCAGAAACTATGTTTCACAGAAATATTTGCTCAAATAAAATTGCACAGTACGAAGGGGGCCAGTACAGATGGAGGTACTTTGGACATTTGAAGGTCACCACCATCTTTTTGAATGGATCGGTATGTTTTTGCTTCTGTATCATGATAGAGGATATTAAAACGAGTTCAACGACCTATTACATAAGGTCATTGAAGGTCATGGAAAGTAGAGAAAGGCGATAATACTTACGGTTTTGGTAGTAAATGAAACATACGTATTGTAAACTTATTTTATCAATGGAAATTTGAATGGCAACATCTATGCTAATTTTATTAAGGATATATTGAGTCTTTTGCCAGAGGAGTCACCTTTACTTACACGACAAACCATGTGGTATCAACATAATGGATGTCCAGCACTTTATTCATTGATTGCAGGAAGGGAACTCGATGAAAAATTTCAAAATCGTTGGATGCGACGCCGCGGTCCAATATCATGGCCAGCTCGGACACCAAACTTAACACCTCTAGATTCCTTACTGGGAGAAACACTGAAAGAGAAAGTGTACAAAGAAGTACCAACTACACCTTACGACATACAACAGTGAATTATTGCAACCTGTGCGTCAATAAGTTGATAATAATAAGATCACAAGCGTCAGTAAATATTATCGCCTTTCTCTACTTTCTATGATCTCCAATGACCTTATGTAATAGGTCGTTGAACTCGTTTTAAGATCCTCTATCATGATACAGAAGCAAAAACATACCGATCCATTCAAAAAAATGGCAGTGACCTTCAAATGTCCGAAGTACCTCCACCTGCAATAAAACTATCATCGCTACCAGATGGCTCCCTTCGTACTGTGCAATTTTATTTCAGCAAATATTTCTGTGAAACTTATAGTTTCAGAAATATCTGAAGTGCTAATATTCATTTTAAAATGAGTGTCAAAATAAAAACAATTGAATCTACTATGACATTTGTCATCTTAAAAATCGCGGTGTGCAAGAAGATTATAATTTTAAGCAAAAGATACTAACTACACTTGCCAAAGAAAGCACGTATACAACCAGTCGAAGCTTAAGTCTAGTTTAATTGTACCAAGCAATTATATTGTTTAAAAAGGGGTGAAGGTAAATCGAGGGAGACGCAAGGAACGAGATACGCGACACGAACCGAGTAACTGGTCAAAAGGGTCAGCTCCGTTGCCTCTTGGCAAGTCCAATCGAAGGGGAAGCGAATCGACGCACCCGACACAGAGGTTCCCCATTTCTCTCACGCATCCTGTTGGGAGCCAGTTGGACCCAACTTGGGATGCCTGACAGAGAGAGGAAGCGTGTGTCGGGGTTACCGTAGACAGGAACAGTCCTTGATCCCCTCTGCTTCCGAAATACTTTTTCCCTTGGATCATCTCGCCAGAGGACGGCAACTGACCTTTCGGATCAGCTAAACGGCCGATCACTTGCTTTTTACATTAAAGCAATGGTGACCGAAACAAGAAACAGGAGAACGGGTGAACGAAAAGCTAGTTGGTAAAGAATTACTTGGCATATACGCAGACGCATACAAGGGAGTCGTTGATGCTTATATCTAATTTAAATGTACCAAGCAATTATTTTGTTTAAAAAGGGGTGAAGCTAAATTATGAGATACGCAACGCGACGCGATGCTAAACCGTGCAGCAAATCTTCGGATCGAATCGACACTGCCCTTGGTAGATTGATATCTATTTCTAGAAATTGATCTATCATGGGCAGGCGACTAGATCTTTCGGATGAACTGGACGGCCGAACACATGTTTCAATCGATGAAACAGCGGTGATCGAAGCATGATACGAGAGAACGAGTGAACGGGAAGCTAAGTTAATAATTGCTTGGTATCGCGGCCTTAAAAATAAATTTAACCTGGAAATAAAAGTCCCTCGATGTACTTGCGTTGTCGTCCCACAATGTCCTGCGATGCCCAACGATGTCCCACGATAATAGAGGCCTGTAAGTAATCTGAAACAAACTAAAAGAGGCTGCATTTGCGATTAGTTAAAGAGTTAAATATAATAAATTGGGAAACACGAAGCTGTGAAATAAAATAAATGAGCCCAGAGAAACCAGTGACGTAAAATAGACATGGATAAGAGCACAACATATACAATAAGCAACATTTAAGACAAGAATAAAATATGGGAACAAACACATTTACAAACAAGGAACCAGAAGTGAAATATGTAAGCAGCCCCACGACGCGACGTTCCGCTATGTCCGCCAGCCCAGAGGAGTAAGAGCTCGTCACCGGCAGTGTATCTCAACCTCAGGCAGTAGAGTTATAGGAAGACCGTCCTTGGCGAGTTCACCAATCCAATAACAGTTAACCGTGTCTCTGACCGAAAACTGAATATTATACGCAATATGGTATTAAAAACAATTATTTATACAACCCACGCTATCGAGCATTATTTTAACTATTGCCTGATGTTAATTAATAATTGTTGCAAACAATAGGAATGAAAATATGGTTAAATTCCAGGAGACTGAAGGATTGTTTGAATTTCTAACGAGAACCAAGGTCAGACATGTTAATCACATATTCGTTTCTTCGACCAAAAAATGAATATTCCACGCGAAAGGGTATCAAAAACGATTATTTGTACAACCCACGCTATCAAGCATTATTTTAACTATTGCTTGATGTTAATTAATAATTATTGCAAACAATAGGTATGAAAATATGGACAAATTCGAGGAGACTGAAAGTTTCTTTGAATTTCTGTCGAGAACCAAGGTCATACATCACGTATTCATTTCTTCGATCTTCTGTCCTTTGTACGATACTTTCTTTTGTATAAGTTTTCACCTTTCTTTTCTTATCAGTAAATTATACAGGATTCTAACAAAGATACGTAAACTGTGTCACTAAAATCGCAAAACAATACATGTATTGCAACACCTAACAAAACACATATTAATGCACACGAAGAAAAATTGTGTATTTTGGATCGTAAATTTGGAAAATATTCAAGCATCGAGGGGTTTAATTTCGAAACATGCGAGAACAATTCTCGTGTCGGCCAATTGGAACGTTTTAAAAATATTAAAACGATTATAAATATTATATTAAAAGATTTCAAATCGTTCTGGAAAAATTATTTTCGATTGCGGGGGTCAATTAGAATCATTTTTGGTAATAGACATATCCTTGAAATCCTACGCATTTTCGAGAAAAAAAATTCTCGTCGAGGTTACCCTAGGTAGTAATCGCAATTGTAAAAGAAATACAATAAACATTCCAAGCTACCGTTTTTCTTTTGATGCTATACGAAATACACACGAGGTATACGAATAGACCTGTCACCTTCTGGACTTTGATGACCCAATCTGACTGCCATACCGAATTATTTTTTAAATAAATAAGGATTTTGGGTGTTGTTGTTAATGAGGTACATTCTTACGTATTTTAATAATCTTTAAATCTTTAAATAATCTTAATCGATTGGTTACTCCAATGTTAATTGAGTAATTCATAAATTCATTCCGTTAATAATAAAATTTAATAAAAAATAATAAAATTTTTGTAATTTCATTTTCTGTCTCACTTCTTGTGTTAATTTCTAAATCTGTTGGTAACGTTGCGAGTGACACGAAAATGGTAATGGGGTCCCGGGACCCCAGAAAAACGGGTCGAAAAAATACAGTAGGTGAAAGATCTACTCGTATACCTCGTCTGTGATACAACGATTGATTAGGTTTTTTGTCTAATATTTGGATGACAGTAACTCGTACAAGCGTTTTACGAATTTTGCTCATAGAAACTCAACTCATAAAAAACGAAATTGTAGTTGTGTACATTTACCTAACATTTTGTACGTACATACATGCATATATTATACGTGCTATGTTTATAATACATTTGAGCCAATTTTACTTTCGACTTACGAATGAATATGTTCGATTCACAGGTAAACTAGATTTTTACCATTGTTCATTTGAATATTGGTTTAAAAAATTCATTAATAGCTTCTAATTTATAAGTGAATTTATGAATAAAACGTACATTCAAGTTCCTTTCCAAATCAATTTAAAATTTATATTCATTGTTCGTGAATAAAATTTACTCAACTCTTGTTTATAATATTATAGTATGTTATATATTTTTGTTTATAGAAATATGCAACACAAAATATTGTGCATGCTTCTGATTTTTGGTTAAGACGATAATAATTGAGTCTTTTAGTTGCTGTTAGATGGCAGTGCCTTTTTTATCATTATCGTTGAATGACATTCGAATGTACGTTTTTATCAGCGGAGCATCATTCTAGCAATGATTTGCGGTCCCCGTTTGTGGTGAACTATCTGTCTGCATTTGACTTTTGACGTGTAAGTTATGAAAGTAAGAAGTACTACTTATTAACGGTCAGTGCTACATGATAAATGTATATGGATGATGTAAATAATGTTTCATTGATGTAAATAATTTTATAAGATTTTTGTATTTCAAATTCAATTATTAAGCAGATTACTCTAGTGAAATAATTTTATGTCAATATTTTACTTTTTAAGGTACACATTTTAACTTTTTCTTCATATTTTCTTAAATGGATCAGATAAGAGCAATACAAATATAACGTGACAGAAAAGACAAAGTCTTGAAACTTAAATACTATTTTACATCTAAATTATAACTATGATAAAATGAAACTGAATTCTAATGTTTAAGTTTTTATTTAGATTTCATAAAACATGACTGAAAAAGAAAAGATTATACTCGTAACTGGCGGAACAGGGTTAGTTGGTAGAGCTATTCAAAGTGTTATTGAAACTGATAAAAATGAAAATGAAAAGTGGATATTTGTAGGCTCCAAAGATGCAGACATATGGTAACTTATTGTTTAAGTACTGTGCAGCAGTAAAGTAATTACAGTCATGTTTGTAAAAGCAAAAATGTTATGTTTTTAGCGATAAGCAAAGTACAGAGAAATTATTTAATAAACATAAGCCAACACATGTTGTTCATTTAGCTGCCATGGTCGGTGGTTTATTCTATAATATGGCAAATAATTTGGATTTTTTGGTAAATGAAACTATTGTATATATGTAATTGATATGCATATTGTTATTGTTATGTAGATTAAAACATATTTTTTTAATTTTTAGCGCAACAATATGCATATGAATGATAATGTACTACAAACTGCTCATGAAAATGGTGTTGTTAAAGTTATATCTTGTTTGTCAACTTGCATATTTCCTGACAAAACAACATACCCTATCGATGAAACTATGGTAATATCGTTCTTATTATTACAAATTTTAAATTTTAATTGATCTTTAAATTTAGATTCACAACGGGCCACCTCATCCATCGAATTATGGTTATAGTTACGCCAAGCGTCTTATAGATATTGCAAATCGAGGTTATTACGAACAATATGGCAGACTTTATACTAGTATTATTCCCTGCAATGTGTTTGGTCCAAATGATAATTTTCATCCTAATGCCAGTCATGTTATACCAGGCTTAATGAGAAGGCTTTACGACTTAATTAAAAATGGTACAAAATATTTAAAATGAAACTATGATTTTGTAGAGTAACATTAATATCTGTATGTATATCTTTCAGAAAATACAGAAAATAAAACATTTACTGTACTGGGTTCTGGAAAACCCTTAAGACAATTTATATATAGTTTAGATTTAGCCAAATTGATAATATGGGTGCTGAGAGAGTATGATTCTGTTGAGCCAATTATACTATCAGGTACATTATGAATCATAATAAAACAAATAGGTGTTTACGATATTACTTTAACTATTACAGTTTTTGTTTATGTACTATATAGTTGATGAATCCCAAGAAGTAACAATAGGTCAGGTAGCTGAAGCAATTGCGCAGGCCTTTAATTTCAAGGGAAAACTAGTATATGATTTATCAGCAGCTGACGGACAGTATAAAAAAACAGCAAGCAATGCGAAACTGCGAAAATATTTACCTGACTTTCAGTTTACACCATTTAATCAAGCCATTAAAGAAACTGTTGACTGGTATATACAACATCATGATCAGGCTAGAAACTAATAAATATATTTGAATATGTTTAATATTCCATTTCCAGTATGTTTGGCTTCATGAATGTAAAAACATACGAGAACTCACCGTTTATTTAAGTGTATACAAGTTATATGTACATCTAAACTTATGTAAATAATATTTTAAGTATTCAATTGTTTGAAGTAATGTAAAAATTAAATTAAAACTTGCATTTTCAGTTGTTTATATAGTACAATATTGTCCTAAGACTGAAACAAGTCTCGATAATTTCCATTATAATAGTATGGATAGAGGATTAAACATATGCATTAGAGCACTATTGTTATATAAATTGCATATTTTTGGAAAATTATTCTTTGTAGATACTATATATTTTTTTTGGGTCGTCGATTTCACAAAAAAATGATGTATTCTAAGATTGCCAAATAAAAGTTATATATTTTTAAAATAAACTATGAAGAGTTTCAATTTGTAAATAGCTGAAGTTTTTTTTTTGCACTATTTGTAAAATATTAATAATTTTTTATATGTTTAATCAAGTCTACAAGTTGCAACATTAAATAATAACTTGCTCTAGTATAAATAACATTGCTTATTTATACATTCTAATAAATATAAGTGTTTCCTATGAAAAAGGGTACTCCCACTAGTAACGAGTAAACTTTTTATTTAGATACAGATTTCGAAGAACAAACAAAAGATAAATTACTTTCTATCCTTTGTGCATTATATTTCACGTTGAATGAGTACATATCTATTTATTTACATTATTTTTCATCGAATAAACATCGGTAATAAATAAAATTTTAGCTATTTGTAGCTTTTATTGTCAAGAAAATGTAGGCACTAACTTAAAAAATAGAAAACCTAAGTTCTTCGTTTAAGGCATTAAGTTATTATTGTGCTATTATTGACAACTCTTTACTATTATATGTATATGTATACTTACGTACTATGTACAAAGATGTAAATAAAGAACATGACGAATACAACAAATATTTTATTCAAATGAATCTGTGATGTCGATTGATTCAACATTACGTAAATTGATAGAACGGTGGTTAATGGATGATTCGCTGATAGACTTATTATATTTTGAAAGTTCAATCAGTTTATGTTTACATCCGCATCTGCCGGCTGCTCGACCTAACCTTGAAGCTAAGCTCACAAATTCCTTATCCGTGTAATACGAAAAAGACATTACTTGTAACGGCTATTTATATATCATTCTACTCATTGTCTGTGCTCCTAATACGCGTGTTACGAAAAACAAACATGCAATATGTATTCTATACTTCATTTGTGGCTGTATGCATTACGGACGAACAGACTCACTTCGTCCTTACCATAACGGAGTGAAATTCAATATTATCGATTCAGAATTAAGAAAAATTCCTATGGTAGTTTAGTAAGACTTAAAACAAATAACTTTAGAAAATATATTAAAAAGAGTAGGTCAGACGAGTTATATGTAGATTAGAGCAGATTCAATAAGGTAAGAGATCATATCTTACGAATTAAAGTACAAACATCGTAAAAAATTAATGTTTTAACAATACATTTTAGATTTAAGAAATATGAATCTGTTACCCTTTCTATTTGACAAGGTATTATTTGTAATAATAAGCCTATACTTAAGTCATTCGTTAACTAGACAAACTTCCCATTTTCACACACGACGTATTTCAATAATCTGACACCTAGTACTCTAACGTTTACAGGAAATATTTACAGAATTAATTAAAATATAAGGTTGAACGTCAAATAGCGGGCTCTAATCATAAATAGTTGAGTGGAATTAATTCAACTGTCTTCATCTTTCGAAAGAATTATTTCAACACAAAACTTGCTATAATTTTAAAATAGGGTTAAATAGGACCCATGTTTATATGAACTTTTGTTATTATTTTCTTGTGTAAAATCCATTTCTGAAGTTGGCTCCACGTGCTACAAGACATTTATATCATAAAGTATATATGTATATTTCGATCGACCAAGTTGCCTATGTCGGATAATAGATCAATATTTCATCTTTAAAAGACATTATCGATTCTATCGAATGTATCGAAAGATGGATGCTTCGCATCGTGACGTCACAAAAGTATATCGATAAATTATTCCGTCCTTCGTGACTGCCTTTCGGGTCGTTTTGGCTGGTCATTGTCTAATTTTTAGAAACAGAATCGACCGATGTGTCTCGAAATTTTATTTACCTTTTGACGAGCAAAAGAAAGTTGACATTTAGACTTGCATTTAGTCTTCCGTTGAGACTTCAGTAACATCGTATGGTTACACATCTGTCTTCGATATCGAGAAGACAAACACGTTTTCCCAAAACATTGAGGGAAGCTTGTATTTCGTCAACTAACGTTCGTTTGCACTCACATAAATTAACAATAGAGTTGAAATCTCGCGATCCACTCAACGCAGAAATCCGTGAAACAGCCAGCCACGAATTCTACGCGAGAATTGGCCACTGGTAGTTGCCAACCAAGGTACTCGGCAACATAAATCATTGAGTAATTAATTGTTTTTCTGACATTTTTCTATATTTATTTTACAGTTGCGGTTCATACATGTATCGTCAATAAGGTTTAACCTTTACTTTGAAAATACACACCGAGAATCGAGACGTTGGACCACCTGACCAACTTACCCAATTCCCCACCCATTAATTCGCATTGGTTAACAGCTACTGTGCTTTAGTGTCGTCATTCGCTGTGTGAAAATTGGTGTGGTAGGATGTGTTGATAGCTTTGCTTCTAATTAGGTACCATTCTTCCACGAGAAGAGGGCACAACGTGTTTACATCCCCATTCCTGTTGCAATCCGCTGACTCACAGGTATTGGTCGAAAACGGTGACGAAATCGGTGACAGCCAATCAGCGGACTGCAGCAAGAGTGGGAATGTAAAGACGCTGTGCTTTCTTCTCATGGAAGGACGATACGTACATATTTCTTATTTCTAAATGTTTCTAATGTATATTATTACGCTTCGTCATTCTTCATCGGCGTCTTCGTTTAATGTTAATACGTTTTTCCTATAAATTCAGTCAGAATCACAAAAAAGTTTGAATCAGTTTTGCGCTTTTTCTTATATGTATGTATATCTAATCGGCATCAATTATTATATCTCCGTACGAAATTACAATTTCAGACATCATATTTCGTGTTTAGTTGTTGCTTAATTATAATATAAGTGCATTTATTTTAATGCATTTGATCGAAAGTGTTTTTTTCTGTTACAGTCTTTGATTGCAATTCAAACGCAAGGAACGCTACCGGCATACAATCGACGCCACGATGTTTGAAAATTTCAGATCGAATGAATTTGAAATCGAATATTGGGAGAATCTATCTTATTATGATAAGTGACGTAAGTGTACAGTATGTTTATATATTATTTTATGTTTTTCTATCGAGTTTCTATTCGTTATGAGTATGATATGTATGACAAGTCGGTGTTGAAATAAAAGAGGAAAAGATTTAATCGAACTTTTCTCCATTTTCATCGCGTACGTGATTTCGATTGTTTGCAGTTTAAAATAGCGTCGTTAAATAACGGTAGAAAATTAAAATGGTGTGTATTTTACTGTATGTTCATCGCGATTGAATATTTAGTTTCGAATGTAGACTTTTATATTAAATTAAAAATATCTGATTTTAACGACACATAATTTTGTTTGATTTTTATAGTTTTTTTATATCTCATCGTTGGAGACACGAATCCAGCAGAGTTACTTTTAGATGACTTCGCTGATGATTTCCACTGGATAATTCGACGGCACCTCTTTATCATATTTTGCGATTGGTGAGTAATGGGTTGTATACTTGTTGTTTTTGGCGAGTATAGTGATCGCGAGTATGTACTTTCCATACTCATGAGTACCAATTTCTACCATTTTGTTATTTAGTTCAGGCTAGGGTCTTCTTGTACTTTGCGTTTTTTACTATTATATTACTGATAATATTCTACGTATATTGATTATATTGATAGTTTTTTATACTTTTCGTGTTTCATTTCAAATGTAATTGAATGATTGTATATTGAAGATATTAAAGTTTTTCGTGATTTATTAAAAATTATAATTTTGCATTTCATGTACAAGAAGGCATTTCGCGACAGGTAGATTTCTGAATCAAAGTAATATGCATGGTATACTATTTTCATCTTTTAGAAAATTCACTTTGATGACTGAATCGCTCAAGAGTAGTCAATTAATAAATTTATTTCAATAATTTGTCTGAAATTTTCAAAATAAATTATTTTATTTCAATATTTTGATTAAAGTTTTTCCTTTTAAACAGTTAAATTTCAATTAGAATAATTTTCTATAATATTAACATTTTTCATAGTTTTCATATTTTAATATTAATATATTTTGTTTTTAATATATTACAAACAAAAGGTTGAGTTATTTTAACTGAAAATGAAATAAAAAATACCTTTTCTATTTATTAACCACTCTTTCTAGTTCAGGGTTTTTAGGATACTTTTCCGTGTTTGTTGCCTGAACTCGTCTAAGTGTTCCCCCAGGTGCTGCTGCTTGGGTGAGCGAAGGCAATGGGCACGATGACTTAGTTTCTAAAATTTATAATAATAATCCATATGTGTGCGACAGACATTGCCAGTGAATCGTGCACGGCGTACTTTCCACATGTGTGTGTGCGTGGTTAGGCCGTGGAAGTACGTCGTTTTAAAAGTTTATTACATACAGAATTTTCGAATATTAGATTCTTATCAATTGTAACAACAATATTATATTTCTATTTATCATTTATTTCATAATTGTTTATATTACATTCACGACAGTAGGTAATATTATAAAATGCTTAATAGATTAGCTTTTCAATCTTATATAATTATATATGTATGTTTACAATATATTTTATTAAAGACTATATTACATTGATTAAAACGTTTTATATAAATATTTATTTATATTTTGGGGGTCCAGTGGTTGAAATGGAAAGAAAAGGATAGGAAGAGGTAGAGGGAGGTGTTTCGCCGGTTGAGGAGCGTATACGAATATGCAGACGGAAGCTCGGTCGAGTGCTTGCGAGAGGAACGGTCCCTCTGGCGGAGAATACGGGAAACGATGAACCTTACAATACAGCGTGTTTGGCCACCTCTGGGAAAAATTTAA